GAAGGTTAATTACTGTTAACTCTGCTGCCCCAGATCTCCCTTGCTGTCCTCCTTCGGGGCCTGAGAGAGAAGACGGAGTGAAGGTACCCGTGGGACCTTGGTTTGTTTCAAGTCTACATTCTGAGCCTACGTTTCACTTCAGCTAACAGATGACATAAAACTAACTAGAGTGCTCTTTGTATGTTGCTTTCCTCCTTCATTGAGATAGGATTTAAGTACGTACAATCCATCCACGTGAAGTACAATTCAGTGGTTCTTAGTGCATTTACAGAGTTGTGTGAGCATCACTGAAATCCATTTTAGAACATTTCTTTCACACCAGAAAGCATCCCCATGCCACCGCCGTCACTCCCCACTTCCCCTAACTCCTCCAGCCCCTGGCGATCACTCATGCACGTTCTCCTGTCATTGCCGTGGAGTCCCACAGCACTGTGTCTTTGTGTCTGGCTTCGTAGCGTCATGTTTTCAAGGTGGATCCACAGTGCAGCGTAGGCCAGAGCTGCAATTCTTTGTATGATGGAATTGTATTCCATTGTATAGATAGACCACGGTTTATTTACCGTTTCGTCACAGATGTACACTTAGGTTGTTTCCTGTTGGGGCTATTATGAATAATTCTGCTATGACCATTATTTTTTTTTCTAAGATGAGGTCTCACCCTGTTGCCCAGGCTGGAGTCCAATGGCACGATCTCCGCTTGCTACAGCCTCTGCCCCCTGAGCTCAAGCGATCCTCCCTCCTCAGCCGCCCAAGTAGCTGGGACCACAGATGCCCACCACCACACCCAGCTACAGTTTTGTACTTTTGGTAGAGGTGGGGTTTCACCATGTTGCCCAGGCTGGTCTCAAACTCCTAAGCTCAAGAGATCCATCTGCCTCAGCCTCCCACGGTGCTGGGATTACAGGCGTGAGCCACCGTGCTCAACCCTGCTGTGACCATTCTTGTATGAGTTTTCATGTGGACACATGTTTTCTTTTCTCCTGGGCATATATCAAGGAGTGGAGCTGCTGGGTCCTTGATAACTCAATGTTTAACCTTTTGAAGAACTCCCAGACTATTTTTCAAATTGGCTAAACTACATATAATATTAAATAATATAAACTTTTTGTGTATTTAACATTATTGTATTATATGTTTTAATATACATATGTTCATATAAAAATTATTTCTCATTTTTAAAAATGTGATTTCTGTTATTTAATCTCTGAAGATCTATAGGGACACAACTTTGTAGCAAGAGCAGATTTTTCATCTGTCTTAAAATTTTTATGTTCATCACTATAGATATATTGACACCCATGTCCTGGAAGACAGACAGTTGGAGGTTTCCTTAGTACTCATCATTTCTTTCCTGACTTTTAAGTCGCTCTCCTCTCTCAAAGGGAATCTAATTTCTACTCCTTAGCACAATATTGCTATCTTTTCTTAGAAATACATCTCACAGTTGAACTATAAAGCGATTTGAGAAAAGTAAGATTTTTAGAAAGACATTGGGTCTCTGTAAATATATCCTTTAGAAAATCGACTTCAACTGAAATTTCTGCACTGCACAGCCAGCTCCATGAGGATACGGGTGATGCCGTGATAAATGATGCCAGGAAGCATCCGATAGATGAGTAACTCATTTTCTAAATTAACATATACTCGGAGAGTATTTTAACCACAGCAGTAAAAGCCCTTTTTAGAGAACTCGTTCTGCCCTGGTTCTGACGGATGGAGGTCTCCATGCTTCTCAGTTCACCTCAACTCTGCATGGACAGTTCACTGACACGGGCCTCCTCTGTGTTCTGTCTTTATGGAAAAATAAATCATAGAGAAAGATTAACAAATTGATTTTTTTTTAAATAAGCCTCAAATAATGTTGAATGTCAAAGGATTACACTGCTACCTTCCACTCTACTTCGATCAGCAACTCCCAATACAAGTATCAATGATGAGGTCAGGCTTTGCATTGGTGGCCTGACAGGTCTCAGACTTGTCAGTGTTTTCAGTGAAAATGGGCCTCAGGAGGCCTGCGGCAGAGCAAGTGGGGGAGGCCTGGTTCACCGTGAATGTATGACCTGGCTTCAGCAGTGATGAGTCCTGTAGCCTAGAGGACATGGAGGATCATCACATACTTCTCATGGGATCCTTCACAAAACCCACCAGTACCTTCAGCAGATGGAGAAACCAACTCTTAATAGGCAGAAAGAAATGGATGGCACAGACCTGGGGTCCCCCGAGCATTTGCAGTTGGGCAAGAGACCAAGTGTGAGGCCTCTGCAGCCAGAGGATGAGTCTCATCTCAGAGCTGCCTCAGTGAAAACGGAATCACCAGCCACATTGGCAGAGACCTCACAGTCAGAGCTGCTGGTACCACAGAGAGGTGGGACGGCTGGCGCTGAGGTAGGAATATGGCCACAGACAGCAGGCAGACCAGAGGTGGCTGCTGCCGCAGCTGCCATCAGCAGCCTGGACCCCCCTTTGTGTTGCCAGCGTCACCTCCAGTTTGGAGAAAACACGTCTTACCAGAAGACCCTGTGCCCATGTGCACTCTGGGGAGTCTAGAAAAGGAGATCTCACAGGCAGAGCCCCTGATGGCACAGCCACTGCCTCTACAGTGCCAGGTTCCCCAAACCAACCAACAGCTGCAGCAGCAGAACTGAGATGCAGGTTGGCCCAACCACGGACAGACGCTCACGGACAGACAGAACCACGGACAGAGAGAACCACGGACAGACGCTCACGGACAGACAGAACCACGGACAGACAGAACCACGGACAGATGCTCACGGACAGAACCACGGACAGAGAGAACCACGGACAGACGCTCACGGACAGAGAGAACCACGGACAGATGCTCACGGACAGAGGGAACAACAGACAGACAGAACCACGGACAGACGCTCACGGACAGACAGAACAACGGTTAGACAGAACCACGGACAGACGCTCACGGACAGACAGAACAACAGACAGTAGTTCTGCTTTAGCTCTTTGAGGATTTGCCACTCTGCTTTCCACAACCGTTGAACACACATTAGCAGTGTACGAGTGTTCCCTTTTCTTCACAGCCTCACAGCGACACGAATTTTTTAATGTAATAAGGGGGGCTCTGGCTCTGCCATCATAGCCTGGATTGAACAAATGCTCATACAGAAGACAGCTGCGAACTCTGGAACACACACACATGTACACACACGCAAAATAGAACAGAAACATTTCTGTGTCATTCTAGAAAACTTTTCACTTTTTAAAAAAATTTTCTAAGCTACAAAGTCTATATAGCAAAATTTGTTTTCGTTTCTGACAACCGGAATGCCATGGGAATTACCACCTGGAGGGATAATCAAAGGGGCTGAAAGTCAACTTCAAAATGGCCGGGGATGTCCGGGGAGGATTTTCAGGGGTAGAGCCAGGCAGATTTTGTGGGGAAGGCTGTGCTGGGGGCTTCACCATGTGTCACGTGGCAGAGCGGCCAGAGGGTGCATCCCCCAGTCTTGATGGGCCCCGCCGACCCCAGTCCTTGTTCTTGAGTTTTGATCTGTGGCTGTGGAAGACAGCTGGCCTTCTGGGACTCTGTATGATAAAATGCTAAGCCCTTATAATATTTTTTAAAAGCCTCTTAAGCCAAATGAGGCTGGGGTTTTGTTTGTTGTTTTTTAACTATTAAAAAGTCTGTGGTATCAAAGGATGGGATCTTTTGGGCTCCATGTTCCTGTGACTCAGCAGCTGTGACCTTGAGATTTTAAGCATGAACCCCGAGCCAGGCTGCATGGACTCAGAAGGGAGCGCCACCCCCACCCCACCTGAGCCTGAGCATGTGGCCTGGCAGCAATGCACATCTCATGCCACGTTCGTAGGAGGAGGGTTGGGAGGGGGCCTGGTTTATAGGACTAATGTAAAAATTAAATGGGTTAGGACAGTGCAAAACACGTATTGGCATCTCTGGTGTAACCATGCACAGAAAATGTTAGCTATTGTGAGTCTGTGTTTTAAAAAACTATTAGCTTTCTTCAGTGGTAACATTTATGTGTCACACTCTATTTTGAAACAAAGAGAATAATTGATAGAATACGTATTTGAAACACAGACTCACAAAATACACGGATCCACCTGTGAGGGCCGTCCAGCGACCACCACCGGGGTCACGAGCCGTGGCTCTGAGGTGCTCACTTCATTCGCGCAGCAGGCACTGGTTAGAAACTGGACACCAGATCCAGAGGACGAGAATCCTTCTTTTAGGTTTTCTCTGTCTAGAAGGCAACCTCAATTTGAGAATGTTAAAATGCAAACGGTGGTATTAATCAGAAGGGACAGCTGTTACATTGGAAGAAAATTGGTAACCGGTAGAAACTGAAGCTAAGTTGGATCTTTGGTTGCCAAACATCTGCAAGGTTCTTCTGTGCTCTTAACATTTCACAAAATGGCAAGAAGGAGGACCAGAGAACATTGATTTTTTAAGGGAGTTTGGAAGAAAACAACCACTGTGATAATAAAATGGATTTCACTCAGCTTCCTCCTATTATCTTTGCTGATATTGCATAACCTGGACAACTTTGCATAAGATAAAACTGAAAGTGAGCCTTGTATTTTTCTCTGTTATTTTTTAAAAATATGTAAAGTTGCCAGAGAGCTAATAATTTTTATGAGGCTCTCAGTCTTCTGGCTTCAGTTCAGGAGCTGAGCTTGCTATTGTGCTGTATGGGTTACTAGAGCTTCCAGCACTCTTTATTTTTTAATATGGAATGATCCTAATTTCACTACCTGGCCATAAAATCTCAGGTTTCAAAGGCAATTTTGTAAATAGCCTCCCCTATTACTTTTGATGAAATTCACATTCGTAAATGTGAATCTCAGAATATTTGCATAAGGCAAAGTTATCCATCAAAAGACACAGACATTGAGCTGGAAGTGTGACAACAGCCTCTCAGTGTGGGTGAACGGTCGTTCCCATCCCTAGGATGCTCCCGTCTCTGGGTGCTCACAGAATGCCTTTTCTCCTTTCTTCTTTCCTGTAGCCAGAGCTACCTGCAAGCTGCAAGCGACGTGCCTGTTGGCCACAGCCTGGACCCCGCCGCGAACTACAACTCCCCGAAATTCCGCTCCCGGAACCAGAGCTACATGAGGGCCGTCAGCACCCTGAGCCAGGCCAGCTGCGTGAGCCAGGTCGGGGTCCCTTCGCCCTTTCTCCCTGGGGTCCAGTCTCCCCGGCCAGCTGGCCTCGCGAGGCCCTGGCTGCACAGGCGGTGACGGCACTGCCTTCCCGGACAGCAGCGCGCGTGCGAGACCACGGTGCAGGGGGTTCCACCTGGAATCAGCTCTGGCTGATTAAGCACGCGTGAACTTACTCTTTTCGACACTTGTCATTCTATATCCTTTTCGCATTGTTGATTTTTTTCTGAGGAAGCAGTGACAGAAAGGCTGGTGGCTTTCTTCCTTCTCCCAGGATATTTTTACACTAAAAAGGGGCCAGGGAAAGGCTCTGGCAGTGTGGCTTTCAGCTACGTCCCCCAAATTGCGCCTCAGAATGTCCTGTAAGGGGACTGCCTGGTGTCACTCACAGACACCTGCCGGTCGGGCTCACTCCAGGAAAGGACTTATTTCAGGACAGACACAACGGCCATGAGAAGGGTCCCTGGGCACCATGGGAGGGGTGGTGTGAAAATCAGGTCCCTGAGACATGGGGGCTGTGAAAGGGAGGCCCCCTGCTCCCCCACTCATGGTGGACAGGGCTGAGAACACACAGTGACAAAATGGGCAGGTGTCATTGATTGTAATCATCCTATATTATACAGCAAAGAAGAATGGATATTTTATAATTTTAATCAAACACATTGCTTACTAATTTAAATGCCGTTGAAAACAGTACTTGAGCTGCCCTTGAGTTTGTACACCTAACGTTTTCTCTGACTTGGTGTGGAGTAGGGTTTAAGAGCCCGCGCTTTCCACGCCCTCCTGTGATGCAGTTAGTGACAAAGTAATTGCGCAGGGAATTTTGGATGTTACTAGGTAAAGAGTCCGGAATATACTGAGCACTCAAAAATGATAGCCCTTATTATCACCGTGATAACAGTAAGTAGCCGCGTGTGACTCTGGGCAGGCCCCCTGGCTGCAGAGGGATCATGCTGTGAGCTCTGGGTAGCACGCCCGGGATTCGTAAGCCCGTCTTTCTTCTGCCGCAGACTTTACATGCCTTATGAGATAGTCTATTCATTTTGCAGTTTTCTTTTCTCATCAGAAAGTTGTACTCTGAACTTTTTCCACTGAACTATTAAGGTTTTCCCTGTTCCACACCTCAAGAAGGATACCACCTCTTTTATCTACTCAGTTACTACCTTTCTTCCAGAAGTGGGGTTAAGTTCTCATCTTCAGCAGGATCTGCACTGACTTTTCCCTAATGACAAGGCAAGGCCATCCCTGGCCCTGCACTCCAGTCCTGGGCAAACAGGAATGGTAGTCATCCAGCCCCTGCTCCCAGCCAGACCCCCACAAACAATAACAACTGATCCTCAGCAACCAGATAATTATAATTGTGTAATAACTGAGGAAACATTCTATTTCAGCATAAAGTCCAAGGTGATTCTGGGAGACACTAATTAACTAAGCAGAGTAACAGAAAGTCAGTGACACGTCGTAACGACTTTTTCCCTACGCAGGGATGAGGGTACAGTAGACTTCCGCATTTTAAAGCTATCACCTTTCACCTTCCCTTTCAGTCAATATAACCTAGTTTACCAAAATACAGCTTTTAAACAGGTATAACCCAACAAAAGGTTTGAACAGAAGTGCAAAGTTATCTCTTCAGAGATAGGGACATGCATCTCTAGTGCTTTCCACAAACAAGTTTCAGTTAAATGGATTTCACGCCTCTTTAAATGCTCTTATGAAACCGTAAGAGGCTTTCCGTGGCTGTCATTTTGGGGGTCAATGTAAGCTAAATACACTAGTTCTCTCGTGCTGCTGCTTTCAGTGAACCCAAGATGGTGTCTACAAAAATAAGTCGGTAAAAATAACATTTTCTCGCATCTTTTTCTGTCTGAAAGGATTCATTATTGGAAACAATGGTTAAGCAGACCGGTTGGGGGTTGGGGGTTTATTTAACGACTTGGAAATTTAGAATTCTAAGTCATTCCCATTGCAGAGTTCTGTGGCATGACTTTAACTTGAACTCAGTATTGAATTATTTAAAAATATATACTGTTATTTAAAATAATCCTGGACCGCTGGTGGTAGGTGGGACTATATCACACCCAGAAACACACTTCCACGATTGTCCAGCCCTAGGCCACGAAACCCAACAATTCAGGAAGGAGGGGGCAGTTGCCGTGGACCAGGGTGGGACGTGTGGAATCACTAACACTTCGGACTCGGGAGAGACGTGAATTTGATGACAGACCAAAGTTTGTTCAGTTTGCTGTTAAAAGTTTGCCCTTTTTCTTTAACACTCAGTTTGTTTCTCAAGCACAAAAAGGGAATTTAAAATCTAACCGAAGTCTTGTGAGACATGCTTATGTCTATGCCATTTCCTGACTGCAAGCTCCGTAGCTGGGCTCTGCTTGGGCGTCCTGCAGCTCATGAACTCATGAGAGGAGGTCCGCGTGTCCCCAAGAGTCTCGGCGGGAGGTCCGCGTGTCCCCAAGAGTCTCAGCAGGAGGTCCGTGTGTCCCCCAGAGTCTCGGCGGGAGGTCCGCGTGTCCCCAAGAGTCTCGGCGGGAGGTCCGCGTGTCCCCAAGAGTCTC